ATTATTATTATTATTATTATTATTATTATTATTATTATTATTATTATTATTATTACTATTATTATTATTATTATTATTATTATTATTATTATTACTATTATTATTATTATTATTATTATTATTATTACTATTATGCGGTTGAATCCTGTTCAAAAGATTTGTTTACTAATGAATGTTGCATTTAAGAACCTGAAGTGTCAATGATAATGAATGACTATTGATAACCGCCAAGTAATCCTATTTGTTTGAATATGAATGATGATTATACTTATGATGATGAATGATGCCGAATAGGTTTGAATCCAAGTTAGCACCAAATAAAAGCCTAATCAAATCTTTTGGGACCATAGTAGCAGTTCCAGATTTTTGGCGAAATTTTCATAATCTAAGAATTTCTCAAAAGTCTTTTCATAGTTTTCAAATCATCTGATAAATATGCAAATACATCCATTTGTAAAAAATATTTTTTAACACTTCAGAATTTGATTAAATTTGAATTCATTGCAAAAAATTGAATCGCAAATTCAATTTCAATGCATAAGCGAAATCTATCAGATTATATTTTGTAGTGTTACAGATTTAAAAAGTAAAGAAAGAAAAAGGAACAAAACAAATAGCAGCAATCATCTTTTATTGTTGGACGTTAGAGTTGGCAGTTTTTTTGAATACTTTCAAATGCGAAAATTATAGTTTTAAGTATTTAAATTAAATCTAAAATTTATTTGTTATCCTAAAATTAGTATTAAATTCATTTTCTTCCAATCATTTTAAAACATTTTATTCTTTCTTTGGTTTAGTACTGAATTTTTGCTGAAAACAAATTTGAGTTAATTATCAACGATAGGTAGCGCATATATCAATAATGTGCTCAACATTTCCGATATTCACAAATTGACCTCACTCGTTCTCATCCTATCTCCGCCCTGTTTCCGTCCCGTTTCCGCCCCTTTATCCTCATCATTATCATCATCATTATCATCATCATCATCAACATTAATGTTTCGTACCATTTGCAATCTTTTTCTCTAATTTTCAATTTCTTCATTATTTCAAAAAAGAAAAAAAGTTTTCGGCATATATTTCTAATTTTAGCTATCATACATTGGCGGTGATAGCACTTTGGATCTATCCAATTAATTAGCATTATCAGTGGGAAAAATCAGCAAATCAACGAGTGTGAAATGAATTTTCAACAAACATTCATTTGAAATGATTTTCAACCATTTTCAAATGGATCGATCACTTTAAGCATTAATTAGTAAAATGAGGGAAAAGTTAATGAATGAATTTAATTTTAGAGTGTTATCAAAGGAAAACGATGAAATTTACAATAATGCAAATGAATAATGCTTAGGATGTTTATTATTACAGCTCATAGATGGAGGTAATTAATAAAATCGTACATAAGAAGGTAGTGTTATTTCATTTGACGATAGCAGTAAATAATTAAATTTAAAATATTTGATGAAATTTTTATCTTTACTAATATTATGTACGATTAATGACCAATTTATTATAATTTTGAATTTTAATGCTTAATAATTTAATATAAATTGATAGTTTAAATGAATGGTTGCTGAAAAAAATATATTTTTACATTTAATAATTTGATTATTTGATATATTAGTTAAGTAAATATAATAAACATTTATTACACTTTGAAATTTAGTAATTTGATATTTAATATATTTATTATTTCAAAAATTTTATAATTTGACATTTTAATTAACTGACTGATATTTCATTTCATATTGAATAACTGATCATTTGTCCCATCTAAACTGTTAATTAATTATGAATTTATGATGATGTTGTATTGATAGTAATATTGGAAAGTTTCATAATTCAACAATCATTATCAGTGTTGTCATTATTAATACTCCTCTTTATCATTGCTAATTAACATGTGATAATTTTCACAACAATTATCGTATTTATGCGCATAATAATAATTATTATTTGATAAATAGAGTACATCAAATGCTTTTGATATTATTGCTTTGAAACTTCGTATTCCAGTTTGATATAAATGAACAACAAATGATAATTGTAGAAATGTGAATATCGAAAATAAATTTGAGCTACAACCGGTAATAATCCGGACCGGAAAAATTTAAATACTTGCAAATTTCGGGAAATAAACTTATATGAGGATTAGTTATTTCATAATTTGTTTTTAATTCAATTTTCTTTTAAAAATAGAAATAAGATCAGCTGATGTGACAAGTTTCTCGAACGGAATGATGTCTAAAACAAAAATAAAAATAATTTAATTTTTTTTTTCCTTTCGTTTATGGTCATGAAATTTTTGAGATATTTTAAGCTTTATTTAATTTTTACCTTTTCACCGATTTTTTTTTAATTTGTGCTTTTTTTTTATAAAAAAAATGTTAGAAATATCATTACAACAAATTGATTTTAATAATATTCATAATTAATTAATTAGTTTTATCAATGATAACGACATCTTTCAACTGTATCACTTTTTTTTTTTTTGATTAACAAGAATTACTGTTATTCGGAAGCAGTCGTTTATACATTAATATTCATATTCCTATTAAATGTAATATTAATTCTATCAATTAACTCATTCATTTTTTTTAATTCCATTACTAGGAATAATTTATTATTATTATTTTTCATCTCTTACTTCTAAATTTTCCCCAACTTCCCAACTAATTTTATAATTAGATCCATAGGAAAAATGTATTGATATTTGATCATTCGATCATTTGTTTCTACCATAATTAATTAATTAGTGATTCCTTTATAAATATAATTTATCGTCTTTTTTTCGCTTATACTATTATAATTGATAAATATTCAATGATTTCTCCTTTTTTTCCCCTATCTTCAATTGTTTATTTTAATTTTATCAAATTTCCTTTTAAACATATTTCTCATTGCAAACATAAGCAGTAATTTATCCATCCAATCATTATTCCCAATGATTATACTTATCATTAATCTTTCCATATATTTTTAATAAATACTTTCTGTTCGTAACATTGAATTATCACAACTAATATATATTTACTTTACATATGATAATTATAATACAAATTATCTCTTCTATTCTCTTTTTTTAAAGTATTCAGTTGAAATTTGTTTCCGTTTTTTTTTTTCCTGAAATTATTCGGTTTTATATTACTGATATTTTGAAGAATGCTGAAATAAGTATTTGTATTATAGAATTTTTTAGTATTTTTCCTTTCCATATGATTTAATATTGTAAAAGTTATGTTACTTGCTTTTTTTAATTGATCATTGCTGCAATTTTTAAATTTAAATTCGATTAAAATGTTGGTATC